GAAATTTTATTAAAACTGCTAATCTTGCACCTATTATTTTTATACCCGAATGCACTTGTGGCAAAATCGGGCAACAACCACGCCTGCCTTCCAAATAACGGTAATTTCAGAAATACGAAAACTGCGATACTTTAATTACTGAAGCTTATTTACTCGAAATTCATATTTACAATTGGGGTATTCATCAGCTTAAACGCCTCGTAAGTGCGTATATCTCGTAAATAAGCTGGTTTTCCATACAAAATTAAGTTTACGAGGTTTACCTGGTTACGAGGCATTTACGCGTTTAGATGAATACCCCTAATGATTTTTATATGAATGTTAAGAATATTATACATTTTTGGAAAATGGGCGTAACCACGCCCACTTATGATATGTGTATGTATACCTTGGTAACCGCTCCAACTAAGTTCTCCCAAACTTCGCATAGTTGTTGGCCTCGATACAAAATACCAAATGGCCGAAAATTTTTAAAATCGGACCTTAACCACGCCCCATCCCATATAAATAGAGCTGCATACAAATTTTGACAATTTTTTACGAGCTTTACAAGGTTTACGAGGCCTTTACGAATTTAAGGGAAGACCCCTACTAAAACGAAAAACAAAAGTGTTAATAAACGATCATTAAAAGCTTTGGGTTTTATGGGTCTCGAATTTTGATCGAAGGTAGTTCATAAGTTTTCTACAATCACGTAGAAAAATTTCTACCTTAGACCTTGTCTCTAGCTAAAAACTCAATTTTGAGGATCCTGTTTAATCTACATTCATAGAAAGTTATGTACTTAGGTACATATGTGTGTATATAAGCACATTAACTAACCTTAGAAAAAGTGAGGAGAATAAAACTAGCATAGTTGTTTGCAACACTTCCCAGAAGTCGCCATTAAATTTGTTATCCTCATGACACCTAAAGAAATAAACAGAATAACCAAAAAAATTAAATACTTAAGTTAATATAAATCTTTGTAGGTTTTTATTTCTTAGTAATTCCGTACTTCTAATCAATACTGTTAGTTAGGGATTATTATTAATATTGTTTTTTAATGATTTTTTAACGCGAAGAAAACATGCATTTTATGTCGAATATACTGTTTATTTTGACATTAGCGCCACCTAGCGGTTCCATTCCCATGAATTTTATTTTGTTTCGTGGTAGACTTTCCGCTGGAAACATCCATATTTAGTAAAAATTAATACATATTTTGTTCGAGTGGGATACTGGTAATAGATATAGCCATAATATAGCTATACAATTTTTACACAAGATATTTAGAAGAGATAGCGGTAATTTTTGCAAACTCAACTCAAGTTTATATTTTTTGGATTATGACACTACTGAAGTACTAAATGGGCGATATGTATACCGAAAGTGGGTTAGAATGACCGGAATTATATTATTTATTTTTTGTAATTAGACATACATGTTTTTCACCACAGATTAGGGTTCTGCCGACACAAAAAACTTAACCCGATTCGAAAACTTTTTTCTAGAATGCACTTACGGTTAAAATAATGCACTTCTGAGAAAAAAGTTTCAAACAAAAGTCACGTATTTTTATCCTCAGAATCCGAGAAAGTCGATAATAGTTGCGTTTGTTGACTCATTTCCAGTAAAATCCAGTAAAAGTTTTTATGAATTTTCATGATTTGGCTCATTTGCTAAAAAAAATGGTATTAAAAAAGATCGCGTAAATACTTGGGAGGAAGATATAAAACCTTGGCGTATAGGTCAATAGAAGAACCGCACTTTATGCACTGCCCAACGATTTTCTTCCTAGCGAGTGACTCACATGTTGATAAGCTGCAAAAAATGCAAAACTGAGCGGTAAGATTCATCCCCAACAAACTGTACGACATACAGTATCGGTCATATATATAGCACGCCATTTCCAAGTGATATTGTGTGCCCCTTATGTTTATTTATTTATTTTTAAGAATTTTCAATTAAAATTTAGTTCATTCTCAGATAAACCCCATATATACCCAAGTTCAACAATTTGTAGAAAACTACAAAAAAGTGTAACAAATTTTCACCTAAATTTGAAACTTTTTTCCCGGAAGTGTTAGAATTTTTTTGAGTACACAGTTTTTTAGCCCCTGCAATTTTAGTCTGATAATGTGCAAATTTCAAGTGGCTACGAATTACCGTTAATTTTTTAGAATTTTTTTTTGTCGCATTGGCTTCCATATAATGAATAAACTCGACGAAAAAAATTCTAAAAAATCAACGGTAACTTTCAGTCACTTGGATCTTGCACATTATCAGACTAAAATTGATTGGGCTATAAAACTGTGTATTCAGAAAAATTCAAACACTTCCGAGAAAAAAGTTTGAAATTTAGGTGAAAATTTGTTGCACTTTTTTTTGTTTTCTACAAATTTTTAAACTTGGGTTTAAACTTGTTAGAGAAAGAACTGTATTTTAATTGAAAATTCTTAAAAATAAATAAATAAACATAAGTGTCACACAATATCACTTTGAAATGGCGTGCTATAGATATGACCGATACTGTACATACAAATACGATATATGTATGTATGCTTGTAGCTTTGAATTGATTAACCGTGAAGCAACAAGAAACTTGTGTACAATAGTAAGAAGAGCAAGCTACCGGATTAGCTTAGCGATAATCTTCGATATATAAATGAAACCCATACATATATATTAAGAGAGAATAACTGCTTCAGACTCCCAAAGTATAGAACGGAAGTGGACAAAAAATATATATTTCATAAAAGCTTAAAGTACTTTAATGAATTTCAAGCGGCTATAAGCGAATCGAAAATTCAGCCTTTCTAGCGCCCAGGAGACATCAAGATTGGGAGAAACCCTACTACTGAAGGGATTTGGAAGAGATTTTCTCTAATATATTCTGTAACGATAGGAGAGCGACCTTTTGTGTTTAGAATTTCTATAGCGTTGTCACGTGTCTAAACAAATGTTAAGATCCGCACCGTTAAAGCACTTGACCTTCAGATATGCAGTAAGGTTTTATTTTTTCCAATAGGGTTGCCATCTATGCGAAAAATTATAAGACGTGAGCTGTTCGATGGAATACGAAAAATCAGGTGTCAAATGAAAGGGTTTGGCCTCGATTATTTTCTACTTTTTAGTCCATTTAAAAAAGCGTGGTTTATTAAAAAGGTTTTTTATTTTATTTATTTTCTACGTTTTAGCCTTGTCTGTATAGAATTTTGCAATAGATATTAAAATAATTCAACGATATTAATAGATTGGTGCACACACATACACACATACGAGCACCAATTAATTTCATTTAAAGAAATGGCGTGTCATCTATTTCCGCTGAGCTTGGCCTTCAAATGTGAAAAAGGATTTATTTTTTGGAAGACCGCCTATACGAAAAATTGTAGGCTGTTCATTGGACAAAAAAATTAGTTTATTAGTTATTAGCCTGTCAAAAAATTATAAGATTGCATTAAAAACATAAGATGCCAAATGAAAGGGCTTGGCCATTAGGTGTACAATGAGGCTTTATTTTTTTGAATAGGGTTGCCACGTGTTTTCTCCAAATGCGTATGTGTACATACCGGCTAGTTATTTTTTATAAAAGTCTAGCATACTATATAACCAGCACCATACAAACCCACATTTCAAAATTTGTACAAAAATTATAAAAATCCAACAAATTTTACCGATTACACCAAAAAATAAGATTTTTTATTCAAATTCTTGGAAAAATGTTAGGTATGCGTTTTATAGCCTTGTATCATGCATATGTAGAACTACAATTTTATCATGTAGATACATACATACATATGTACAGCCCGCTTCACTTGAATCTGAATTTTTTATCATCGAAGAAGTTGGTTTTTTGATCTCATATTGAAGAATTATTAATTTTAAAGAAGTGGTGAAAATTGAGAAAACTGCTATCTTATTTGTGCTTATAATTTTGAATCTCTTGAATAGGCACAGTGTCTTTAACACAAGGAAAAACCTAGATTGAACCATCAAAAGCATAACATTCATTTTAATTCTAATATATAACACTTTTAGTATTAGACAATACATGCTTAATTCCAATGTATGGAAAAACCCCCTATCCGGTAGACATTACTATAGGCGCTTTGAAAAATCAAGGACATCTCGCTGCTTACTACTTTATCTGACAAGCAAAATTGCAAAACATCCTCTTCCAAATATTTTCCATTAAATTTAGGTCCAGTGAATGAATGTACTCTGAAAAAACACGACTCTGCTTCGTTATCCTCGTTTTTACAACACCTGTAGGGCGAATCGGTGCGTAATTTTCTAGCATATTCAAGAACAAGTTTTGAAAATATGCGACAAATGTTAAAAAAAAATTCCTTAATACTTGTTTTGGATGGATTATTCGTAATTTTGGAAACTTGAAATATTATCTCAACTGCTCTGGACTACGAAATCGCAGTTCAGGCCGCCATACTGTCTTCTAGATCCTAGAGAGGAAACAAACAACGTTCGTCATTTCAAATATCGTGACAATTATTATTAAATCCGTTGTAGCGAACAAAATTAAACTTTTCGCCAGAAAAAACCACAATTTTTCAGTGGTTCTTTCAGGAATTGCGATTTTTGGCCATTTTGCTAAGGGGTCCGTAGGGAACCATAAGGGGCCTAGGTGGTCGGGGGTTGCATTTTTGTCAATGGCGGCTCATACCCTCTCCAAAAAGGTCGGTTGGAGGTGCCACGCCCACTCCCCCTTCGCCCACCGCACCTTTAACCAACGGCCATAATGGAAAGTTTCCCCCCGGCTTCAGCTGTCAGAAACATTTGCATTTCCTTCAGTTTTATTTCCAACAAATCGCCTGCGGAGTCCTGTATCCACGAAGCTCACCATTTATGCATTTTTGGAGTTGAAAGTGCGCCTGCTTTGCCAATTCTTGCTGTGTTAAGGTCTAATTATCCTTTAAATTCTTAAAAATGTTTTAAATGTAATTCTAATAATTTTGCTATACACATAAGGAGGCTACGCATCTTTGTACCTATTCAAGTGAATTAAAATAGTAAGAATAGTGGTTGTTCATACTTTCCATCAGGTTATCGGGTTTTACTTTTTATTCAGTTTGCAATAATAAAATACACTACAGAATAATTAGTTTTAACCAGATAACCTGATAACAGCCACATAATTTTCGTGTAATTTGATTTAAAGTGGAATAAAATCCAAAGTAATCAAGGTGTTTTCTTCATTTTTACCACTTTTCTTCGAAATTACTCATCCTTAAGCGAGATCAAAATTAAACTTCTCTGATGCCCCAGATATAAGCCTGGATCTTGTGGAAAATATGTGTATACACATATAGCTATACCTATTCAAGTGAAGTGGGCTGTACATAAGTACATGCATAAAATATTCGTGTATGTTTATTTTCCAAATTATTCAACTTACATCTGTGCGTATATTAAAGCAGTAACACACATCGGTACTATCATGCAAACCACTGTCCAAACGAAATAGCTATGCTCTCCTTGTTGATGATATTCCACAGCCAATTTAATATTGAGAAGCACTGTGATGACTCGCATTAATATAGAAATTACAGTTGCTGCTATATCCCTGAAAGACACGGTTTTTTCCTTCCACGCATGTGTTCCAGCATCAACGCCATCTGCGTCTGCGCCATCGGCATCCGTTTCTATGCATTCAGGTAAATTACTTTTCCGCATGCACTGTTGGCGTGTCAATCTCATCAAATCCAAAATTGAAGTAATATTCTCCATAATTTCTATACCAATTTGTACATGTATCGAACATACATGCATATATATATATATATATGTGTATTAATTAATTAAGTTGATTAAAACTTATCGCCATGCGTCAGCGTGTAAACTGGACATTAATCATTTTATCTTATTTTTATGGTGCGACGAAACGACCTCACATTCGAGTAAATTATTATAAGCATCTAGTTTTCCCCAACAAAATGTGCACGTATACCAGTGTATGGGCGTGTATGTTTAACTAATCTTTGTTTATTTATTTATGGTAGAGCTAATAGCTTAAAAAGGAAAAATGCAAAAATAAACATATCGCAGCAACAAATAATAAACGTCAGAAATATAAAAGCGAAGGTAGGAATTAAAACAAACAACGAACGATACCACGATCAGCTGATGGCCTAGGCGATCATAAAGTCGATAGGTAGCAAACATGATTGAATCATGGGCAGCAAATACCGGCTACACATTAGATTCTTTCCCGTACGCAACGCGGGATCCCGTGGACAAATGGCGTTTACGACAAAATTTGAATAAAAAAACTTTTATAAACTCAAAACTAATTAACAATAAACATTAAAAATTTAATAATTTAAGAGTTTTGGGAACTAGTAACATTTTCAGAGACTTTGGAGAAAATCTATCTTTGCATTTTTGGAAATTGTATACCAAACTTTAATCGCGATTTCGCACAACCTACCGAAATTAACATACGACAATCTTCTACCCAGGCGACGAAATGGATAAAGTGTCATAGTACATATCAGTTGTTTTGCATTTACATGTCGCCTGCATTTACTTGGTGCTTTTAAGAAATAGTTAGTGGAGTGAGTAAAATTTTTACCAGCAGAAACTAGCAGCTGTCAAAATGTATAAACAAAAATTCGCGCCAAATATTTTCAGTAGTCAAATACATCGATCAGCTGTTTACTTACTAGTTTTGCGTTTCTTTACTATTTCTTTATTTCGCTCTCTGTGAGCGTAATTCTCTCAATTTCCCCGTATGAAGCATACCGAAACAACGCGGCGTCAGCGCTGAGCGGTTGGAAAATCCGATTTTGACAGGGCGTTAGGTATTGAAGTTGGCTGCAGAAAACGGCGAAACTGTCAACCGCCCAACGCTTTTGTTTAGGTATGGCAGTAAGGCAGTATCAAATCGGGCTGTCATAACCGATACCACCTTGCATTATTATCATGGTGAAAAACTACGAAAAGGTTTATTACCAAGGTGTGTTTAATACACCTTGGTTCATTACTGTATACTATATATATATATATACATATATATACATATACATACATATATATATATATATATATTACTGGTTGTGACCGGCTATGATTTCTTTCGGGGTTCGATAACGAGTGTATGTACATTATGCCCTCACCACACTGTCATAATATTTGTGTATTAAGGCACATTTACATATATATGTATGTAGATCCCAATCAAAGCTCGCTCGTCGCTTTTAAAATCTCGATAAATAAACAAAATATACTAAAAAGAAATTTGTTATTGAATTGGCTTTTAAGGATATAATAAAAATAAATTCTCGTTTATTTCAGAATCATTAATAATTACTGGCGGCCGCTGTGGTTTTGTGGTTAGCAGTGCACGGTACAACTCCGCAGAACTTGGGTTCAAGCCCGTTCGGAGTCCGCATACCATATGTGTAAGTGTCAATCTTATATTATTATTAATAGTTACTAAGGAATAAACTTTATAAAAACTTTATTCTTATACGAAACGAAAATATTAAGATATTCTTATTTGCTTATGTGAAAATTTCTAAGCTGTACCTCATAAAAAAAAATAATGACACCCATTACATACAATGTTTTCCGTTCAAAAATAAATATGTGAATTGAAATTTCTTTTGTTTTCATTTTGCCTTTATTTTTTTAATGTCAATCGCAATTGTATAAAAGAATTATAAAAAAAGAGTATTTATTCCACCAGAATCCAAACAAAATTTCTTAAATTCCAACTACTGCCATTTAATTTAAATTATGAAAAAATTTAATTTTTTTTTGGTTTTTACACCATACGTACATTTGAAATCTTACCATGCTATTATATAAATTTTATTGTTTGCATATTTGCATTATTATTATAGTATGCTTTCTTCTGTTGAGTGGAGTGTGGTGTACAATTCTGAACTGTTTCTAATGCATATTCACATTGGAGATACGCGTACATACCTTGTTTTTAATACTGGAATTCAACCGCATTTCTTTGCAAAGATATTTCTAAATACGCGTGTATGTTATTTTATTTATCCTTGCGTTTTTATCTTGAGTTTTTTTTTCTTGCGTGTAGGTTTTTCTTAATGGTGAATGGAAGTTAAAATATCGACCCTATTACGAGTGTAGACATGTACTTATTGAAAGAGAAAACGACATTGAAAATACCATAAATAACCGACTAATGGTCGTTTATCTACCATAAGTCGACACTTTCAAAATAAACGAAAAAAATAAATAAATTTTCAAATATTTTGGTTGTTTGATACAGAAATGCATGTACATAAATATGTATATATTGCATATGTAAAATATTACGTTTTCAAAAAAAAATAGTAATCCAAAATTTAGCGAAACAAATAAATAAAAAATAATAATTGTATCTGAGTTGTCTGAACATGACATTGTAATTATTCAAAGATGTCTTTATTATTAACTCTACCTCGCTGATAAGTTTTTTATGCTTCTATTTTGCTGCATGGCAAATACTCTGTTGCATGTGATATTGGTTTTATGAAAGTCGCACTTGGTTTTATACTGGCAGTGAGTAATATGAAGAATAAAATTTTCTACTTCGTGGGTATTTTCCCGCTGGTTTTGAACTCAGTCATTTCCTGGAATAAAACATTGGAAAATACATATTAAGTGATTTTCCTCCAAAGAACGGTGTCAATGCATTTGGTTTTAAGTTAATTATGCCATTACTTACACGGTCGTAGCGCGCCTTGTCCTTCTCGGCCATTAACACGTACCTCTGTTTAACCTCTGGATCCACATTGGACCATTTACGACCAAGCTCCTTGGCAATATCGCCAAAGCCATATTCGGGATTGGCAGCCTTAACTTTGCTGCGCTCTTCATTGCAAAACCAGAAGAATGCAGATCTAAAGAGATTAAAGCGATTTTTAGTTAGATTTCATGTTATAGCGACAGCTTGGGTACGAACTCACAATGATCTTTTCGGCGCAATCGGATCCATTTTACCTACTACCGAAATGTTATCCAAATTTGAGAAAGGGATATCAAAGGACGCGTATGTATTTGCAAAAACCGCTTCGTTTAAATCAACTCACATTTACATTAATAAATGCACTAAATGAACACGTATTAATATTTAGTTGTTAGTACAATATCTAGAAACCTTATTAATTATTACAATATAAGGATGAACAAAAGTACATAAAACTGGCGTCGTATTGTTAGAAATGTGGGAAAAACATCGATGTATTCCAATTATCGATGTTTTGCTTCGAAACATCGAAAATGTTCCACTCAATTTATAAATAGTCGATGTATCGATGCATAAATGCATCGATGTTTTTTGAAAACAGAAATTTCTGAACATTTAACCGCCATTTCAGTTTTTCAAGTGTGCAAAAAAGGGACTTGAGTTTGACCACAAAATTGAAATGCCTCCAAAAAGTTTCGCTAGAAATACAATAACCTGAATTACAGTTATTAATTTAAAATTTTTTACAGCTTTGCTTATAACATATTTTGTTGTGAAATTGTCTGAAAAATCGTATGCAAATCGATGCGTCGATGTATCGAAAAATATCAACGCATCGTAAGACGGGTTCACACCTGTGCGGAGTTGACTGTCATCAAGTTGAACCTCGTGTTGTCAAGCAACTTGATGAACGCTGGCAATGGCCTTGAATCGAAATTTGTACAGCGAAAATAATAATGGGATTCATGAAACGTCGCAAAGTTATTGCAAATGTGGCATTTGTCCCAAATTTGCCATCTTGCGACACATCTGATTACTTTTGTATGGAAACTTTCTAGCGACAATAGGTTTGTTCGTCGAGCAAAAAATTTGTACGAATTTGTACGAA